TCCTTCCTTTGTTTTTAAAAAGAATGTACTGTAATCAAGACAAATAGCTGGTTCAGTTCAAGCAATTCAGTTTCATTTGTTAACAGGGCCATAAACAACATTATGGCACACAAGAAAACCTACATTTAAGTACAAAATCCGTTATTAGACATAATTACAATGTTGTAACATCACTGAGAAGTCATCAAAAATAAATGGGGAAAACAGGTGCATATACAGCTTGTACTTTTTTGATGTTTAAGTAGTTAAAATTCAGCAGTTAGTTTTTTTCTGAAGGATCTTGGGTTACTGAATCTATCTGTCAAATCTTCAGGGCTGGCTGCTTGTTGGGCAAAATGGGTGGTGGTTTCATCACTGAGGCATGTTGTAATAGCGCAAGGAAAAAAAAATCTGCATTTGTAAAGACCACACAATTAATGAAAGAGCTGTTTCAAAGTAAAGCAACTGCATTTGTTCAGGTTAGAATTAGGATTCAACCCTGAAACCTGTAGTAACACAGCCCTTTACCCATCAGGAGTACCAGACCTGCAGAATCAGATCCTGCTCAAGGAAGAGGTTGCCAGAAAGTTTCAAGTGAGGCAAATGCCATTTGTGCCAGCTATAGAATTAAAGATAGCCTGTTTTATGTAAGATACCAAATCTCTGAATATATAACAAGTAGCAAAATTATCCCATTTCTACTTTTGATTCTTTCCTATGGAAGTGCAATCAGGTGGAATAATTGTACTTATAATTTTTCAGAAAAAGGAATGGTTAGAAATGTGGACACTTCTCTTTAGGCAGAAACCATGAGGCACTGAAGCAAGCATTCACTTTTCTTGCACTTGAGGTCACAAATTTATGCAAGTCAAAAATGTAGGGGCTGCCAAAAACATCATGCTGCACTTTACCAAATAAAAGGACACTGTTATTCTTACAAGGAAAGGTTTGACAGGACAGGAAATAGGCAGGGTCACAGAAGTTTGCTTAATACTGAAACCTATTTAACCATCTTAAAGCCAAAGTACAATAACAGATTAAAAAAAAAAAAAAAAAGAGGAAAGAAAAGAAAAAAGAACCTGAGTGAACTATTACGGAGTTCCAGCCAACCCAGAAACTGGAGAACATCAATAAAAATGCCTGTAATTTTGCCATGTTACCATATGTCATCTGTATTTGTGTTAACAAGTGTCATACATTTTTAAAATTTATGTTCAAAACTGTCAGCAAAAGACAGAAGAATTGGACAGCCCAACGGAGAGTTTAACAGGCTGCAAACTAGCTTCATTACAATGCAGTCATTAAGTAAACTGCATTCCACTGAAGGAGGAGGGGGTTGAGGGACAAGAGAGAATATGAAAGATAGGAAAAAAGTTGCTATTCATTACAATTTTCCATTTTTGTTGAAACACAGCAGGAGAGCAAAGCCACAGGCTTCTCTACTGCTCTTGCATGCCAGGAGGGATTATGCAAACACTGCAACCACCCAAATCTTATTTAAATTATAGTCATTGTTCCCCTTTTAATGGTTATACTTTTTGCCTGCTTTCACTCAAATATTACTGCATCTTGCTTTCTGCCAACATAGTCCCACTGGGAGTCATCAACTCTTAATTATAGATGAACAGATCTTTGAAAAAATATCCCTTTGGAAGAAAAAAAAAAGCCTTGCACACCCTAAGGAGGGAAAAGCAAACTTTAAGTGCCATCTAGTGGCTAATTTACTGAAAGTATGTGGAAGTGCCAAAGCTCTGAACATATATACACCAGACAGGTAGATTTGTTAGATACAGCTAGGCTGAGGAAGCTGTTTGGACTCAGAGCAAAGTCATGTCTAAGACTAGCATTTAGTGTACCAAGGAACTGGTGGCAGGGCTTGGATTCAATGGTGCCACAGTCTCTCAAGTTATTCATGTGTAAGAATCTTGGCCCTGGAGATCTTGAATGGTAGAGCCACATGGCAGCTACTGTCCCTACAGGACTTTTACCATCCTATAAGAATGTGTAATTTTTCAAGGTGTCAGCAGCATTTCAAGCCAAGCCAGATAATACCATCCCCTTCTGACTTTGATCGAACCTGGGACCAAAAACCACAAGAGCAGGTTGGCAGCCAAGCATTTAAATGCAAATGCTACTCTTCTCCTCTTATTTCAAGAGGGTTTGCATTTTAAATTCTGATGGCATCCAGCCCTGGTTGTAAGACTATTTTTTAAAACAACTGTCAGATCATTGTGTCGTAATTTCCCTTTCCTTTCCTTGAGGAAAGGAAAAGCTTTCAATGCCCCAAAGAATTTCCACCAATTTCTCTCCTCTTGCTAAATCGCCTTCTTTCAAAGCACCCTCCTTTCCCCCGCCATTTGTTGTCTTGCTGCAAGGGATCCCCTTTCTACTTGCTTCAAGACCCACCCAAGCATCTGAATTAAAATTTCCTCTCCCTCTATTTTAGGGCAGTTTATCACTTTTATCACGCTCCCTGTGGTTGGCGTCTTAAACTAAGGGCCCTGTTACACTTTATGCTGTAAGCCAAACAAATGTTATTCCGCTTACTGTCGTTTGTCTTTGTGGAGCAGTAGTCACACTTTAAGGCAAAAAACCATCTGACTGTTCTTCACCTGCAAAGGTTGTCTGTCTTGCCATTAGGGGCTTAGTGAGCAGGGGCAGGACTAGGTGCAGACCCAATCTCATTTCCTTTTATGACCAGGTGACATATCACCTGGGCAAAAGGGAAGAGGTTTATGCTATATATTTGAACTTTAAAAAAGCCTTTGACCTGGTGTCCCATGATGTTCTCGTGGAAAAATTGGGCAACTGCAGCCTCAACTACTCCACAATCTGATGGCTGGGGAACTGGCTCCGAGGTTGGACTCAGCGTGGTAGTTGACATAACTGAATCAACATGGCACTCGGTGACTAGTGGCGTCCCCCAAGGCTCCGTTCTCAGACCTGTACTCTTTAATGTCTTTGTAAATGATCTGGACACTGGTGTCAAGAGCAGACTGGCCAAGTTCACTGACGACACCAAACTTCGAGTAAGTGATAAAAATTGAGGATAAGCTGGTAATCCAGGCTGACCGCGATAGGCTTGCAAGGTGGCCGGTTGAAAACCTGATGGCTTTCAATACGGAGAAATGCAAGGTGCTCCACCTTGGGAATAAAAACTCGCATCACACTTATAGGCTCGGCAGTGCTACACTCGCTAGCACCATGACTGAAAGAGACTTGGGGGTCATGATTGATCACAAGATGAAACTAAGCCACTAATGTGATACTGCAGCTGGCAAAGCGAGCAAAACTCTGGCTTGCATCTACTGATGCATCTCGAGCAAGACCCAGGATGTCATCCTCCTGCTGTACTTAGCTTTGGTGAGTCCACAGCTGGAATACTGCATCCAATTCTGGGCTCCACAATTTAGGAAGGACGTGGAGAAGTTTGAAAGAGTCCAGAGAGCTACATACATGATCAGAAGGCAAGAGAACAGGCCTTATGAAGAGAGGCTGCCAGCTATGGGACTCTTCAGCCTGGAGAAGCACAGGCTTAGGGGTGACTTGGTGGCAGCCTGTAAGTACATAAGGATCTGGGAGAACGCCTGTTCACCAGAGCACCCCAGGGGATGACAAGATGCAATGGCCAAAAACCCCTGCAAGACCATTTCAGACTGGACATAAGGAAAAACTTCTGTCTGAGCCCCCAAGGCCTGGAACAGACTTCCCACAGAGGTGGTGCAAGCACCTACTCTGGACACTTTCAAAAAATGTTTGGACATTTATCTTGCTGGGATCCTTTGACCCCAGCTGACTTCCTGCTCTTTGGGCAGGGGGCTGGACCCGATGATCTTACGAGGTCCCTTCCAGCCCTAATGTCTATGAAATCTATGAAAAGCTGTATCTGATTGAAGAGCATGTGTTTGTGGAGGAAAATGCAAGCAGATATGCACCTGAACAATAAATGGATGTGAAGGACAGAAATGGGTGCTCTAGCTGGTATTTTCTTTGAGACTTGTGGGATTTCAGGAAATTCCAGTGGCAGTTGAGAGCAAGTTTCACCACTAACTCTTGTTTTATTTCTGTGTAGAGTGGAAGGAAACCTTGTTAGGTGGCAAGTTACAATATGGCGATTCATACCAGTGGAAAGAAGAAAACCATGAGTGTCTTTGTCTTTAAGGGCAGCAAGGCTGCTCTGACGTAATTACGGTGCGGCAGACCAGACTTCATAAATCGAGTCTGCTGGAGCTTGGTAATTACTGTGCTCTAGCAGACTCCAGTGTCTCATGTACCAGCATCACCACACTGAACTAAAGCTTGTTTGATGAGCTTTAGTTAAAGCACTCCTGCTGCCACTTTTCAGCGTGGCGATGCTGATACAAGATGCTCCAGGAGCTTTAGTTAAAGCTGTTATTGGAGACGCTCTCATTAAAGCCTCCCCTGCTCTCCCCCTCCCCTGGAGTACATGTATAAACGCCCTAAGGTTGTCCAAGCAGGTATGGTACCAGAGTGCAAGCAGACCATTCTCCCTAGTGAAGGGAAGTACCATCAATGCAAACGAACATTTTTTATCAACATTTGCCCTTGATATAGAAAAAATACAGGCTATATATATATTTTAAGTCCAGGGTATTTTGGGTCTCAGATGTCCGATGATGATAGATGTAACCTCTAGAAAATAAAATACTAATAAAAAAATTACCGTTCCTGAACCATATGCAGAATTCCAAAGCCATCCACGGAACTCAGTAAGAGATTGCAGTTATCTTGTTAGTATAGTAGTTTAATTCATACATGGTGTTTAGTATGATGTGAACTAGAAAGCACTGTGGGGTTTTTGAAGTAGATGAACTTTTCCCCATATCATACTGGCAACAGTCCTGCAGCATCTCTGGCTTATTTTTTCTGAGCAGGTATTGAGAAATGGACTATGAAGTGAAACCAACAGTGAAGTGACATTTCAAACTTATTTCCGTTAGCTCTTTGGCACAAACTATCACTACATATCATTGTCATATGTCTC